GCGCTCATACAATTTGAGAGAAGGGTGGGAGATATTGCACTATCATAGTAATGCATGTGCCTCGGTGGCTGTTTGGGAATAAAAGTACCAACAGCATGTCGTATATTAATAATGCTACCAAATTGCTGTTATTTAGTATATTAACAATGACGATGACCCTGTAGTGATGAGTAAAAGTAAGGAAAGATAATTTTTGGAACCAGAATGTAATTTGTAGTGAATTAGAACCTTTAAGATAGAACACTTATAAAATCTCGCTTTTAATAACAGTCGACTTTACGAATTTAGGTAGATCATAATTGAAATAAAGGTTGTCACTTGTGCTTGCATAAAAAATATACAATATAAGCCAAAATATTGGAAAATTATTCAAATCATTATTTCAAAAAAAAAATATATATAATTAGTGGGGTTGCCATCCGCAAACTTTTTTGGAAAGATGGGTTAGTTTGAAAATATGCTTTACAAATTGTTATATGTTGCGACAAACAAACTCTTATTTAAGCATAAAATGTTATGGGGTTGCCATACTGATTGTATTTAAAAATTTTAAATTCTAAAATGTCACACAGTTGTCATTCCAAAAATTTTGTAGCTTCCAATACACTGCACGTAAGAAACATATTACATATTCTCTTAAAATTTATAATTTATATTATATAATATTCAATGAACTTGACTTATAATAAAAGCCTCTTTGAAATAAATATTACGTTCGAAGTGCCGTCAATTTTAGCTACAGAGCTTTTAATAGTATAGTAAAGTAAAAAATTCAACAAGGTTGCCACATTAATTATATATAAAATATATTTTTTTAAATAGATGTTAGGTAAAATAATAAATGTAAATGGAATTGAAACCGATTTTCAATATCCCAAAATCATAATAAACAATATAAACTTCTTTACCAAATAAGTATGGAATTATATGAGTTTTTAGCATATGCTTAATCCACTTGTATATAGCGAATAACCGAATAATGAAAAAAATATTTGACAATCATGAGATATTGCTGTACGGTAGCATACAGCTTTCCACCTATGGCTATATCTACTTTTGATGATTCATATTTAATAATGATATCACTCAAAATTATATCGAATGCAAAGCCTAACATATTGGATCGCCCGCATGTGCGATAACTTTAAAGAGAAACCCCATGAGTTGTAGAATGCAATGCTTCAAAAGTGGTGCGACTAAATGATATTAAGAAATATTTCAAACGTTGTTCGCACTGTTATATAAAGTACTGTAAGACAGTATGAATAAATATCTTCGACATAATCATTTTAGCCAGTCTCTTGAACAGAATACCAAATTTGCAACACCAATGAATTTCCTGGCTAGACATCTGCTTTATGCAAACACATACACCGCCTTTTTAAACAAAACAAAAAAATTGTATTTATGCCGAATCCACAACCCAATACGCTTCCCCCAATATAAACATTTATGGGGGGGGGGGGGTGTGTGTGTTTGTGTTTTGAGGGAACCTCTGCATCGCATTGTCTCCAGTGCCCCATATAAAACCGGTGTGTGTGTGTGCGTCTATTTGCCCAGCGCTGCCATTTGCGTTGGTTTGCGTGCTTGGGCTATGAATTCCCGTCGCTTATTTATTTTGCATTGTACATATTGCTTGGGTAAATACCTGCATGTATATATATATATAGCTGTGTATATAAATATTGTATATGTTATGCATGCATTCTCGGTACTGACTTTGTTGTTGGCATTTGTTTTATTTTTATATGCATGCCAAATAAACGAAACATATTTTTCTTTGGTTTATGTATTTTACTCATATACATATACACATACAACATTCATATGTATTTATTTGCATATTTCTTCGTGTTCTATTTGACGATTTTATTTATTAACAAAGTCATCTCTTAAATGCTTTACCTTTAATGCAAAAAACGCTGCTGTTGTGAACGCAGAAGCGGAATATTTCTGTGATCGGCAGATGCTTTACGTCCACGATTGATCGAGGAGTTTTCAGCGATGATTTTGTGTTATAATCAGAACGCATTTGAAATGTAAACACGGTGAGTGTTTTACTTTGAAGACCACAATTAATATATATATATATTATATATGTATTATCTTATCAAAAGATATGAGCTCCTTAATTGGCTGATGCATAATTGTGCCGAAATCGAATTTCAGACACCTAGTACATACTTTGATGCCGCTAAAATGTGAGACCCTAAACAGTTCTCTGTCTTTGAACTGCTTTGCTATAATATTTAGGTTCTTTATAATAAATTGAAAAAAAAATTGTTTGCCAGTAGTCTTTAAAGAAATCAGGAAAACCAAAGGCCGAAGACGGATCACCCTTAACCGCGACCATGCGTGCTCTCACACATCGACTGAAATAAACTGCATTTTTGAGGACTCGGAACAGAGATTCGATGAGTCGCACTTACACACTTACTTACTTTACACCTAAAGAGGTGGTTGTTGTGTTCAGAACGTATGTTTTGGGGATACCTCAATCAGAGTGTCGAAAATCGAAAGCTTTTCAAAAAACAATAAAGCGATTTTTGATGATTAATTCTTAATTCTCCAATATCGAAATATAAAAGGCAACGCTCGTAACCTTCATCTATCATACTTTAATGCAAAGAAGTAATAAGTATAGAAGATATATATATATATAATAGAGGCGAAATCATTATCAAATAATACGTGACAGGTGACAACATAACATTTTGCACACACACAATGACAAATTTATGAAGTATAATATATTATAAAAAAATCCAATCACTATTTGCGACTATATGTTGCGCACAGGATTTTTTAAATCGCTGTACAAAATTTTAATAAGGCACTTAATTAAAATTGTGGATCGAATGACTTTAGAAAATAATTATACTTTTTTAACACATCACAACACTTACAATGTTATATAACACCGAAAATGTCTTCAACACTTGCTAAGGGCAATCACGGGTGACGCCATCGCCTCCAACCTACGCCCCGCATTACTGCTGCCATTTTAAGTTCACAATATTTTCCAGACACTTTGCAACAAGGGTCAACAACGCAAAATTACTGTTTTACCTTCACTCAGTTGCTGTGTGTTTACTATTATACTGTTATGGCAACCTTTGCAACGACTTTGGGAATTAGCCGAGTTAATTAGATTTTGTTGTCAGCGCGAAGACGCAATGGTTTAGTACAATATTCACAGGGGAGACTTTATTCACAATATTATCTACCGTATTTTGTTGTCAAAAGCAACATTTTTTTATTTAATACCATATATGATTATATGATAATACAAGCGGGGGGAGTGGTAGCGTAAATGCAGTTACGCATAGTTGGAGCTGGGGCACAGAGCGGATTTATGTAAAAAGTTTGATTTAGTAGTAGAGTAAAAAGGAATTTTTAATTCTTAAATTTCATGTATTAACATAATATAATATCATCACAAATGCATTGTCGCTTTTATAACCGTACAACAGCAGTTTATGTCAAGGGGTGGAATAAGTAAGATAACTTCACTTAAAATAAGTCATTGAAAATCATTCAATATTAAATTATCCTACCAAGACTTAGATCATTGAAGAAACATATTATAAGCTGTCTTCGCTTCGCAAAGCGTTACTCTCCAGCGAATCGAACAAACTATACCAGATGCTCAAACAAACGGGCAGCACTTGTGGTGCAACCCCTCGCTAACATATCAGCTGATGCATGCGCAATAGTGTTATGATTCTTTTTTAAAGAAGAAATTATATTTTTTTATAATTCATTTTCAGTTTCTGTGTTTAAAAAAAAATTGTATTTTCATTTGTCATTTGAATCATTTGCAATAGTAAAACTAATCTAAACTATGCAAAACAAAACTTGATAGCGGTTGTAACACTTTAATGTGGTAACCGCATACTCTCTTGTAGGAAATCAACTCAATAACTTTGCGGTTGCTTTTACATGTAATTTTTTTGACAAGAGGGTAGAAGCGAGCACAGAAATGGCGATTCGAAGACAGCTATAACGAAACAGAAACTGCTTTATAACCTTGTTTTCGCAATTACTTTCGAAGAATAATGAATTTCCTTTGTTAATAGCGTTTTCCAATCTAGAACATATTTAGACTGCCACAGCCGATGTAAATGAGAACTTGAGTTTTCATGCCCAATGCAGTCAGATAACCGTAACGGAACCGGTTTTACATATAATAAATAAATAAAAATTGAGATAAATTATTTACATATTGTCCTCCATGTTCTTCATTGGTTCATAAACCATCTTGGTCTCCTGTATAATACTCAAGTGTATAATAAATAAGAATGCGTCCGAGCTTGATACCAGTGTTCTTGAGAGATTTTTTTAATACGTCAAATTTTATTTACATGGTCTCGAAAGCACTACACCCTGTTGTTGGCCTATTGACAGGTCACAATCTAATGGCATTACATGCGAGCCGAATGGGCATAAGTAACGACGATACATGTAGAAAATACAGGGAAATATGCATGAGATATACACTGCTTCTGTTTAGCATTATCTGGAACTCTCCTTAAATATCTAGGAGTTAAAGGAACTAGATAAAGAATCAAAATTAAATATCAAATAGCTCTTAAAGTTCGCAAAGAGCGTTGGCGTTCTGTGTGATGAATACTTCCGCTTAAACTAATCCGAACCTCAATCTAGCACTACTAAGAACTAGTAGGTTTATATATTACGCGAAATTAAATTCAAAGCAAGAATACCCCATACATGAGTATACAAGCATGAAGTAGATGCAATTTATTTTCAAGTTGTTTCACATAACTTACTTCGTTTGACAACTATGACTAGCGGATTCAGTATCGGGAGACCGAATGTTTTTCCATATGCTGGACGGATATTATTACATTTGTACATATGTTAGTTTAATGGAAGAATATAGATAAGCGGTATAACTTTGCCACTTTGGTAAATTTTACATACAACACCCTGTAGCTGTGTATCTTTGGCTTATTTATTTATAAAACTTCTCCACTCACCTGGTTTGAAGCCATCGCCATGTTCACGTGTTGAAATAAACTGCAAAGTTGTTAGGCTGAGGCATAACAGAATCGACAAAGCGCGCTCCATGGCTGTGATCATGTGTGTGATCGCTGCTGTTAAGTCGACAAAAAAAGCACTCAGTCAGCAAGGTTATAAATTGACTGCTGTTGTAAATGTGTGTAATATATTGTTGCTGCTTGTTGTTGTATTAGCTTTCTGAAGCATTGAAGTTTCAAACTGAATTCTTAATTAGCTTTTTGTTATTTTTATATTGCAATTTAATATTTACTTTGTTTTCATTTGTACACCAAGTTTTAATTAACTAAATTATGTTATTGTTATTATTAACATATATTCTACGCTAATTACATTTCTGTTTTTGTTACACTTTTATTTTCTAATTTACTTAATAATTGAATTTTACTTATTTTATTAGAGATTATTACAAGTATTTTACACACACAAGCATTTACTGTTATTTTTTTTTATGAATTTAAATCTTCTCTTTGATTATTTAATGCATTGTTTTCCCGCTTTATACATTTCATATATTTTATTTGAAATTTGAATTTTTCTATATTTTATTTATTTATTTTATTATTTTAAATTTATTTTTAAAATTGCATTTTTTGTGCACTGCTGGACGGTTGTGTGTTGCCACATGCGTTCAACATGTCATATACGTCACACCTGACATGCAGCTGGTCGCCTGCTCACGCTCATTACTTTGGTTTAGTTATGTTCCACAAGGGACATTGTTGCAGACGTGTCAGCACAATATTGTTAGTTTTTGATATGTGTTCACACATTTACATTATCTTATTTTTTCATTTTTTTTTTCTATTTTACTTCACAAATATTTCTTGTCCTTTTTGCACCATACATCCGACCGCATTGTTGCTGGTTTTTTAATGTAAACATTGAGGTGGCGCAAACGCCCACCTACACATCTGTCGCTGGCACTGGTATGCTGTAAGAAATAATACATATACATATTTATATATGTACACACTTTTATGGCTGACGGTGGCAAATATATGCATTTGAGTTATGTGGCAGGCAAGCAGTGGCAATGTTGGCGCTCATGAAAATTTCACATAAAAATTTGCACGTGCCGCATTTATCGCACTAACACATGCACAAATAAATTCTACACTACCCCTTGTAACACAGTGAAAAATATACACATGCACATATGCGTTTATATGGCAACATTTAAGGCTTTCACCAACACTTAATATATATTTGTGTTACTTCTGTATAATTCCAGCTGAGTCGTTTTGCCCTCACAAGCATTAAGCTTTACTTTCATATCCCCATATTCTCGTAATAATTAAACTTTAACGAAAGCCTAAAGTCAACTCACACCACACATGTGGGGATTTCTCTGTATATGAGTCAAATACTTGTACTTAGTGAAAAGGGCTTCTGCATTGTTTTTTATCTCTGAAGGTAGTATGCAATCACACAGCTTCCAACACTTCCCTTTAAAGGCATGTACTAATTTACCATTGCTAAGTTTTCATAGCGCTAGTCTGATCTAATCTGGTGGCTTATTCAGAAGCGAAGTCTCTCGATCTACAACATTCTTTGAAATTAGAAAACAAAAATTGCAATCCCGTGACTTAAAGTTAGTAATAAATGTAGCCTGTCGGCGAATATTGAAATTTATTTAGAGCCAGGGTGTTAGTTAAGCCAAAAATAAAATAAAACGATTATTTCTAGATAACTTTATTGAATCATTTTATACTAAAAAAATTTTTAAATATGATAATTTCTCGACAACTACTTACCGAACCATTCCTTTCTAAATGCCTGACATTATAAAAATATATAATATATATAGGAAACCGATCCCTGAACTTTTTAATTGAATTTTCTGTAAAAGTGTTATGTGCAGAAGACAGTGAACCAATATACCCAATTTTCGATAATTGAAGATTAGAAGTTCAAGTAATTTGACGTCTTACAAAAATCTGTCTTCATCTTCGGAATTTTTATCTGTCAATAATTTTGTATAAAGTATGTTTATATTAACACCGTTAAAAAAATATATTTACTTTCTTCCTTTAGGCCCACTGTACCAACTCTGAATTTTGACAGCTTTACTGAAAATTGCGCTCCATATAAATAGCCGTTAACTTCATAATATGCATATGCAAATAGGCCTACAGCAATATCTACATATGGTACATGCCTGAATGGCGTATTAGCGAAAAATAAAAGTATTTCTAAAGCGCAGCGGTCGTACTCATCGAGCTGCAGAATTTTGCGCGATTAACGAGAAAAATGCGAAATACCGCACACATTCACATTTTCTGATTATTTATACACCTAAAAGTATGCAACAGAAATGCACAGAAATGCGTGCAGCCGTTGCACAATTCAGTGCTGTTTTGCTATAAAGGGCGCAGCATGGAGCTCTTCACGCGTGTAACTTCAGGCATTTGCGGCATTCAAAAGCGTTATTCTGTGGCATGATCACAGCGGTAAGCATTAGTAATTTCATTTAGATTGTACGAGAAAATTGACATATTTTAAGCGTTGCTATTTGGCGGTTGGACTTTTTTGTGTATGTATGTGTGAGCTGTTGACACAGTGGTGGTGTACACAGTCAAGGTGTACGGAAGTCTGCAAGTAAAGAAAATATGAAGATTATTTAAAATGATATGATAACACTTAAATAATATTGTAAGCTTAAGGTGCGGGCGTAGGATTAATTCGTGTAAAACAAAGTCAAATTTTCCCTTTTTTTTCTGATGAAACAGTTAACACTTATTTTTGAGAACCCATGTTACATAACTCGGTGCTGTATCACCTGAAATCAAATAACCAAAATTATAACGTTAAATAATTGCCTAGCCCAAGTACCGCTGTGAGGATTTTTTCGAAATTTCAGTTTTTCACTTTTTGGAAACTCTAACAAATTTGAAAACAAGAAAATTCAGCGTTACCACGTGAACTATGTACAGAGAAATAGTCTTGAAAACACTAGCGCAATCGATGCAGTACTTTCGAAGCTAAATACAGGTATAAAAATAAAATACCCAAAACTTCGTCAATTTTGTGCCAATCGACTATAAAAAGTTCTTGACGTATTAAACAACCTTATCCCACCATAATATTATATTTATTTAAATTTTATTTTTAAAATAAATTATTTTTTAATCTTTCGGTTAAAATCTTTTTTTTTACCTGCGTTAACCCCACAATTAAATCCAAAATAACGGAGCTGTCAACTGCAAATAAAACAGGAATTAAAAAAAAAAACGTTTATACAAAGGCAGAAAGGGTGAATAAGACATAAAAAGCGATTAAGTCAAAGCCGTTTGCAAAACAAAGAAATATACTGTAAATAAATTTGAAAAAAACAATGAAAATAATTATACTGCAAGACCAGGGTCATTTCTCATTTAGCGCGCGCGTGCATACACGCCTACACACATAATCTATTAAATGTGAGTTTGTGTAAGTGCGCTTATGAGATTGCTTTTTATAGCGACAATCGAGCTTGCAGCAAATCTCCTTTCATATTTATATTGTCACTGCGGGGATTTTTACAAACCAACAAGTATACATGCACACCCTCACCCGTTGCCACATACATACGCACACAGAAGCAAACAATAATAATGGTGCAACGCTATGCTGCTTTTTCGCGATTCATTTATTTTATTTAGCTCATTGTGTTGTTGTTTTCATTCATTGTTTTTTTTTTTTTTTTCTAATTTCATTGCAGCTTTCTTTATTCTATTATGTATAATACTTGTATGTATGTGATATCTACAACAATAATAATATTATTGTATGTGTGTGCTTCGGGCACACTATTTACGCCACATATACACATATAAATGTGTAAAGTTGTATGTATGTAGTTGTGACTTACACTGCACATTTACGCCAATCGAGGCTGGAGATAAGAGGTCTTCCTCGGGGGCATGATTAATTAATGAAAATAATATATACCCACGGTGGCTGTGTAACTGTGTGTGGGTAAGTATGGATGTGTGCGTGTGCCTGTGTTTGTACACGCAAATCCACCACAATGGCATTTGCTTTTACCGCCATAGAAGGCCAGATCGGTTTATGGCACGAGTGATGACTGAAGGCGAAAAGTAAATATAAGTGCTGCAAAAGTTAATGCCTTGGGTTACCGATTCACTGGTTGAATATTTTTTTGTCGAATATTATTTCCCCTTCGAGTGGACTTTGCTTTACAAATACAATTTTTTTTCCTCAAAATTCTTCAGTATGTAAGTATTCAAAAAAATATAACTTATTTTGGGTAGAATGCCTTCTGAAAGTAATTTAAAAAAAATTTTAATATTGTTTTGTTTTCTTGAAAATTTTTGTTTTAAGGTTCTCAAGATGTTAGAAGTTATACGATTGAATATTTGTTATACTGGTAAAAAAACAATTTTTTTTTTAGTTTTCAAAGTTTAGCTATTCAAAAATATTTAGCCATAGAGAATAGAGGAATTTTTTAAAATTGAAATTATTTATTATTTATAACTAGTTCGGCCAGTTCACTAAATTTTAAACGCGTTTTTCTCATAACTGCCTTTTTTAAATTGATACTCACGATTTCTCATCTTCTACTGGACCGATAGAAATTTTTATACCGTCTTTTTAAAGACTTATCTATGTCTGGAACTCTTCATATCGCCAAATTTATATTTTTGCTATTTTTAAAATATTCGATATAATAAAAGAAAAGTCACCGTTTTGTCAAAAAACAATATCAGTAGTCACAGACATTGCGATATTATTCATGATTATTGACTTTTGAATTGCTAGGACTATATAAATCGTGGCTATCTGAAATTCATGCCTCTAGAAAAGATTAACCCCTTTATATCAAATCGAAAATATCAAAATTTAGTAACTTCAAAATATCGGAAATAAATATGTAACTACGAGTTCATTGCATACAAAATTTTGTTAAGTTTCCCCTTACACTTAGTTGCCCCAATTAGTTGAGCTGTTGCGTTATTAGATCACGTAAGATGAATATTGAGTCGCTAATTTCGGAAGCATCTTTTATTTGTACAAAGGTAAATTTGGTTCTGGATGAGTAATGCAGCTTCGAGATATTCTAAAAAATCTAACTAAGATGTTAGACTTACTTCAAATACAAGTTTCATTTAAAAATGCATGATTTCCTGATCCTACAAAGTTCAAGATCGCTCGGCACATTTACTTTATAAAAATTTAATGAACTAAGCTTAAGTTTTATGCAAAATTATAATTACTGACTGCAAAACGCAATCAGTAGCATTGCGTTTTCATATTAAAATTGTTAGTGATGATATTTCGATACATTATTTAAAAGACGATGTTCAAAAGTAGCATGTTGTAAAAAAATCTATATCGTTTCAAAATAAATAAAACTGATAACAATTATAGTATAAATTTGTCATAAAGATCTTTATGGACCATTAGTACATCCTAAGGAAAAGAACACTACAATGCAGCCGAGGAGATAAGTTATTCACGGTCAGCGACGCTTTAAAATGACTTGGCCATTTTGTCATCTCGCACACAGTATCATTCCAATTGAGTTTAAGTCTATTAGTATGAAACAACAAAAACAACTTTTTTTCGGTTGCATCCAAACCTTCGCCGATACAATAATTCCTTACAAGAACTGTGATCGGTCAGTTTTTATGGCTAAGGTGAATATTTTAAGTTACTGTAAACAACATAAATAGCACTCGTATGTCGAAATGTTCTTTAAAGTATTTTAAAGAAGAAAAATTTCACAAAGTGCGACGTCAAAGCTTATTTTATGGCCATTTATTATTTTTTTATCTACAAAAATTGCTTATTTTATTCTTTTACTTCTTAACACTGAATTAAAAGTGAAAATACCACCACTTGTCATATGTTCCTATAAGTAGAATATTCTATAGTAGTAAAGACAAGCTCTTAAGTACTTCAAAATGAGAGTAAAGCAAGCACTACTAG